CAGGTGAGCTGGACAAGGAGGGATAGCAGTATGGACAGGCTCTTCTGGTGGCCCTGGCTCCTATGCCCAAGCTTTCCTTTTCCTTTGGCTATGGAGTTGGCAGGCTCCAGAGAGGAGGACAGCTGGAGCAGAAAGCCCTCTAGCCTTTCAAGCATTTGCAATGGTAGTCTGGTGTTGACATTTGGAGTAGCTGAGCAGAACAGCCTAGGGTTGCCAGTGTTTGATGGATAGCAAGCGTGTTTCCTTTGAAGGCAGCTCAACTGGGGCTGTGCGAGCTGTTGGGGGCCATTGGGGGAGCATCCTTCTGCCTTTGGAATGCAGACGCTTCACCTGCTGTCTGCAGGAGACTTGAAAGAAGAAGAGGATGAACCCCTGAGAAGCTGAAGCTACTGGCTCTGCAGCGGGGAGAAGATCCAGGTGAGCTGGACAAGGAGGGATAGCAGTATGGACAGGCTCTTCTGGTGGCCCTGGCTCCTATACCCAAGCTGGCCATTTCCTTTGGCTATGGAGTTGGCAGGCTGCAGAGAGGAGGACAGCTGGAGCAGAAAGCCCTTAGCCTTTGCTTGAAGTGGCTGGCAGCCTTGCCTGGGGGGTGAGCAAGGGGACCAGATTTTTCTTACATAGAAGTAGCATGGTAGCTCCCCAGGTCTTTCCATGACATTGTACAGTGTGACCTGTTCCCTGTTGATGGTCATGCTCAGGAAACAGAGATCAAACCCTGCCTGTCTCTGAATGGTTCTTAGGGGCATTACCTGTGGTCCAGGAAGGAGTCTCCTCCTTGAGCATTACCTGTGGTCCAGGAGGGAGTCTCCTCCTTGTGCCCTCTCTGCCAGCTCCCAATAAAGGTTTGAATGGTGTTCGTCTTTCCCTCAGAGGAGCTCGGGGAAGAGCCAGCCTAGATTCTGCAAGCTGGAGATCTGTGAACCATAAAATGAGCTATATGGGCAATAGTGGGGTTCTTTTCTTTCACCCTGAGGTACAAGTCGGGGGTCTTTGGTTATTTGTTTGTTACCTTTTCTAGAAGCTCTGCTAGTAATGGGTAGCTGTAGTAAGGGAAGAGATCCCTCCTTGCTTTCCCCCATTCTCTCCTGAGTTCCTCCTTTCTTCTCACAGGCCAACAAGCTGGCAGAGAAAAGGAAAGCCCATGATGACACTGGGAGGTCTGAGAAAAAAGCCAAGAGGACAAGGCCTGTATGAGCACCAGCTACCTCTCCCTGGGAGTTGGACATGGCAGAAGCAAGCTAGTGCAACTCACGAGTACCAGCCCAACACCCTCATACTTTTGGTGGTGTGTGACCAGCCCTAGCCTCCTATGAAGTTCATGCTGGTGTCTGGACTAAGAGGCCTCTACCCAGCCCAATTCTTACTTCAGGAGTCTGACAAACATCCTCATTTTGCTTTGCTTTCCACAGCCTCCTACACAGCTGTGCCCGTAATTCTCAGGATGCTGTCTTGGAATAAGGGTGGGGAGCTCTGATTAAATGGCTGGACTTTTGCAGTCAATTGGATTCTGTGTTCTGAAGTCTACCTGGGGTTGGAAAGGAGTCTGTCACCTGGACAAACCCAGATGGGTCCAGGGATGCTAGGAAGGACCTAGGTTCTGGGCGTGGGTTTCACATTCACCCTGGCCTGGTTCCTGTTTCACAGCTCAGGTGATTCTCTGAACCTGCTTCCTCAAGTCAGGGTCTGACATTCTGGAACCTTCCTACAAGCAGTGTGCTGAAGGTTCACTTGTCCAGGTATGGGCTATAAACGTCTCCTAGCTTCTATCACTTCCTGCTGGAGCTCATCAGAAGGTGAAAGATGTTTTAGGATTTCTGTTGTTGTGGTAAAAAAAATCATGACTAAAAGCAAGCTTGGGAGAAAAAGGTTTATTTGGCTTACACTTCCATATTGCTGTTCATTATTGAAGAAAGTCAGGACAGGAACTCAAACAGGATGGGAACCTGGAGGCCCGAGCTGATGCAGAGGTCATGGTGGGGTACTGCTTACTGACTTGTTCCTCATGACTTGCTGAGTCCACCCTAGAAAACCCAAACTTACCATCCCAGGGATGGCACTACCCTCCATGGGCTGGGACCTCCTTCATTTGTCACTAATTGAGAAAATGCCTTACAGCTTGATCTTATAGCGAGCGGCATTTCCTCAGCTGAGGCTCCTACCTCTCTGATGACTTAAGTTGACACACAAAACCAGCCAGTACAACGAACTCCTTGTTGACTTGACATACAAACACATCATTATTAAGCCACAACCCTTCCTTTCTTTTTCATCCCCAAGATCTCACATTAAAAACATAAATAAAAGCCCCACAATCTTTACCAATTCAAACACATTGAAATTTCAGTCCCTTGAAAATAGCCAATCTGTGGGTTCCAGTAAAAAACTTTTAAGAAGAAAAAAAAAAATCTGGGCACAATCAAAGCAAAACCAAATTCCAACCATCCAATGACTGGGATCCACTCATGATCGGGACTCCTCCAGAGTGCTTGGGTCGCTTCTTCAGCTCCACCCTCTGCAGCACACAGCTAGTCTTCTGGGCTCTGGCTAGCTCCACTCCACTGCTGCTGCTGTTAGTGGTGGTCATCTTATGGTACTAGGATCTCCCAAACTGCTGGGGGCCCTCACTGCAACTGGGCTGAACTTTGGCCAATAGCCTCCCATAGGCTCTCTTCCTGGTACCAAACTTCAGCTTCTTTGTCTGACCCCTTCAGTCCTGGGTCTTCGACTGCTGGTGAGGCTTCACCTTCACCAATGTCCTTTCACAACGCCAAGCCTCAGTTGCTCTCCATGGCCCCTTCCTTCATGCTTTCAAAACCACTACCACCTGGGTGACTCTTACATATGACCAAGTTCAGCTGCCAACATGAGATACAACTGTGGCCACCTCTGGAACACAGCTTCTTTGTGCTCTCAGGAAATATTTCCGGAATATTTCACCCGTGATGCTGTTCGATAGCCTTTTTGTTTGGTTTTGGTTTTGGTTTTTTCAAGGCAGGGTTTCTCTGTGTAGACCAGGCTGTCCTAGAACTCACAGGGATCAACCTGCCTTTGCCTTCTGAGTGCTAGGTCTAAAGGTGTGTGCCATGACCACCCAGCTCTAGTCTTCTGAGTCATTGCTAATTTTTAGCTCCAGCTAACGAGAATCAATTGTCCCTGGAGTGCAAAGGTTTCTCTTCAGTGGTGCTGATCCTTAGTTATATTCATGGCTGACTCTTCAGCTCCAGCTGATCAGAATGAGAGAATCTCAATTCAAAATAGCAAATAGCCCTGATAGAGTCTGTCTTAGGGTCTCTACTGCTCTGAAGTGACACCATGACCACAGCAACTCTTACAAGGGAAAACATAATTAAATATGGCAGCTTAAAGTTCAGAGGTTCAGTCCAGTATCATGGCAGGGAATATGGCAGCATGCAGGCAGACACAGTGCTGGAGAAGTAGCTGTGAATCCTACATCTTGCAGGCAACAGGAAGTCAACTGAAACACTTGAGTGGTATCTTGAGCACAGGAGACCTCAAATCCCACCCCCAAAGTGGCACAGTTCCTCTAACAAAGCCATATCCACTCCAATAAAGCCACACCTAATAGTGCTACTCCCTATGAGCTTATGGGGACCGATTACATTCAGACTACCACAGGTTTCTATTCCTGTCAAGAGACACCATGACCACAGCAACTATTACAAAGGACAACATTTAATTGGGTGGCTTACAGTTTCAGAGGTTTAGCCCATTATTGCCTTGGTGGGACATGGTGGCATGCAGGCAGACAGGTGCTGGAGGAGTTTAGAGGAGATGGAGTTACATCTGATCCTGTAGGCAACAGGAAGTGTTCTATTTCACTGGGCATGGCTTGAGCAATAATGAGCCCTCAACGCCCACCTCTAGAGTGACATACTTCCTCCAACAAGGCCACATCTCCTAATAGTGCCTCTCCCTTTGGGGGCTGTTTTCTTTGAAGCCACCACATTCCACTCCCTGGTCCTCAAAGGCTTGAGCCGTATTATAATGCAAGAATGCATTCAGTCCAACTTTGAAAGTCCCCATTGTCTTGTTTAAAATTTTCCAACTTAAAAGTCTAAAGTTCAAAGTCTCTTCTGAGATTCATGCAATCTCTTAATTGTAATCCCTTGTAAAATCAAAATAAAAAAGCAGATTAAATACTTCCAACATATAATGGTACAGGATATGTTACCATTCTAAAGGAAGGGAGCATAGTGAGGAAATACTGGACCCAAGCAAGACTGAAAATCAGCTGGGCAAACTCCAAACTTTGCAGCTCCGTGTCTGATGTCAAAAGTGCTCTTCAGAAATCCAGCTCCTTTCAGCTTTGTTAACTGTAACACACTTTCCTCTTTTGGGCTGGTTCCACTCCCTGTTAGTAGCTCTCCTAGGCAGGTATCCCACAGCTCTGATGTCTCCAACATCTTGAGGTCTCCAAGGCAATCCAGACTTCACAGTTTCACACAAAGGCCTCTTTAGGTCTCCATGCAGGGACATCCCTGATGCATGCCTGACTTCAGTGGGTTTCCTTAGTCTCTGATGCAAATTCCATCACCCCTTTCTTCTATCCTTAACTCCAGAACAACATGACCAAAGCTACCAAGTAGTGCTGCTTATTGGGGCTGGAACATGGCCCCCTTGTTCAGTTACATCTTCACCAACTTTCTGCTTTTGATGGTTTCCTTCCCTGCCTAAGCTTGTCTGTCCTGAAACTGGATCTGTAGACCAGGCTAACCTCAAACTAAAAGATCTGCCAGCCACTGCCTTCCAAGTACATTACCAATAAGCTTTCCAGTAATTCCTTTTCACAAGTTGGAAACTTAGCTGGATGTGATCTTGCCCTGAGGCCACCACTACCGTTATTCCATTTCTTATGTATTTACTACTTGAACACAGAATTTATCTCCATTCCACTTCCTGGTGCCCCTTTTCTCCTCAATCTGTACATTTTGTATTTTACCTTGCTCACATTTTGTATTTTACCTTGCTCAGCGTGCTCCTTTTCATTATAAGTCTTTATAAGCACGAGCACTAGCAACCACACAACAGAGTATATACTAGGTTGTTTTGAGATTTCCTCTACCAATGGAATTAATTAATCCAAATGTCTTCACTTTAGCCTCAGGCAAGGGCAAAAAGCAGCCACTTTCTTCACCAAAATACCACAAGACCCATCTCTAAGCCACATACTAACATTCTTCTCTTGAAACCTCTTGATCCAGGCACCCACAGTCCAAATCACACTCAACACCACTGTCTTCCATGCTCCTACTAGGATGGCCTATTAAGCAACACTTAAAGTGCTCAACTTCAGGGGCTGGAGAGATGACTCAGTGGTTAAGAGCACTGACTGCTCATTCAGAGGACCCAGGTTCAATTCTCAGCACCCACATGGTAGCTCACAACCATCAATAGCTCCAGGTCTAGGGGACCTAACACCCTCATACAGACAGGCAAAACACCAATGCACATAAAATGAAAATAAATATGTTTAAAGTACTGAATGAAATGAAGTGCTCAACTGCTTTCTAACCCACAGTCCCAAGGTCCATATTCCTTCAAACAAAAGCATGGCAAGGCCTGTTTGGCTGGAACCTCAAGTTCACTCCTGCTTGATCCAGAAAGCCTCATTCCTCTCTCTCCAAACCCCACCCTCTCAGAGACTCTCCAAGAAAGAAAAGGGCCAAAAAGCTCAGTTTCACATTCTTGGTGGCTGCAGAAGCTTCTTCACTGAAGTTGCCAGCAGCCTAAGTCCCCACCTAAAGTGCTCAGGTTTTGACTATACTTGGGCACAAATCCATCTTGTGGTGAACACATCATCACCCCTTGCCTACAGGCTATATATAAGCTCCCTGCTTTAGGTTTGGGTGTGTGACTTCTTCCTTGATCTCTAGAGGTGGGAATTGCTTTGTTAAAATAAACGTTTTGGTGGGGGCGGGTAGGGGAGGACGGGTGGGAGAAGGGAACTGGGATTGTCATGTAAAACAAT